GTCTTCCCGAGTCAGCTGGCAGGTTTGTTGAAACACGATTAACTATTTTGACTTCATTTAATGGGTATGTAATGTAATTATTTTGTAAAATAATTAATTAAAACGTAAATATATTTTCTTAAAAATGTTAATGTAATTAATGTAATTTTAAATAATGTAATTTAAATATTTTGAACGAAACTAGTTAATTTTAATTTATAATAATAATAAATGTATATATTTGAGGATATATATTTATTTTTTCTTGTTTTTTAAATCCATTTTAACCACATATTAAACCCTTTATTTGCCAGCCTATCTGTGTCGTTGGCCTTATGACGAGGAGTGCCTGTGGGTTATCCTAATCGTTCTGTCTTGGTCACTCTTGGTTGGGCCTGGTTGACTTTCCAGTCAGCTCCTACAATGTCACTTGGCCACCTCTAGATCTGTGTTTGCCGGTCTAGACGTAATCGATGCACTCCTTAAAGTGCCACATTGCAGCGATCCCAGAGCGTTAACGAGATCTGATTCCTAAGTTGAGAGCTGTTCTTCCTGTAACGCTTCCGAATAAAGAGGTCCTGGTCGAAAAGAGTTGAAAGATACGAAATTAGGTGGTCGTTGGAATCCTGATCGCAGTAAAGTGGTCCTTGGTAACATCAAGCATAGAGAATGTCTGGATCCATCAATAGTCTCCTAATAGGGAGGGCAGTGCGATTAATGGCTTCCATCGACTGGGTAGTGTTCGTCAAGTGGGTGGCGAAGAGCCAGTCGGGCATATATCATGACGGTATCTCCGGTCGCTTAATGCAGTTTGCTGCTTGGCTAGCCTAGGGAAATGTTAATAAAGGTAAAGTAAACTATATTTTTAATGACATATGGGGCACAAAATAATTGGTGTTATGTAAATGTAATTCTGTATGTATATAAGATTCGTAATATAAATGGTGACTGAAATAGTACAAAAATATGTGGGTAGTATTTCACACTCAGTCCAGTATATATACAAATGTACTTTTTTTTTCTCTCTCTCTCTCTCTCTCTCTTTCTCTTTCTTATTTAATCTATATGATCTTTGTAGACTAATATTTTCCTTAATGTTAAGACACTTTATTAGCATTTTGCTTAAAGCAATATGCTTTTTTTCATTTATTTCGTGCCCTGATAGAGATAATTCAATTTTGATAGAATACAAGGATGGCAATTGCCATGTTTGTAATTTATCTAACATCTTCTCTTTCAGTAGTCATAAGTTTCTTTTGTTTGTTTTTAACTATTTTTATATAGATAAGTATTAATTTCACTTCTTTGCGTAACATAACTGGTCTTGTGTTAGGATCTCAAAGACTTCATGAGGCAAGCTGGGGAAGTAACCTTTGCAGATGCACACAGACCTAAGTTAAATGAAGGGTAAGCTTCTGAAATAATCTCTTAAAAGCTGTAGAGTAGTATTTGTATCTATAATATTTAGGGAGGATGCTCAGCAGCTGTTCATGGTTTAATTTGGCTACCCTTAGAAATTCTCTGGGAATTTGTGGAGGGGAGTTCTTCAATTCATGCTTGAGTTGAGTCAAGGGATGACCATGCTGAGCAGTGTGAGGTTTTTTGATTTTTTTTTTTTTTTTTTTTTTTTTCTGTCATCAAAAATACAACTTGTAATAGTGAACTCCGTGTGCTGTTTTTTTTCCTGTAGGGTGGTTGAATTCGCCTCTTACAGTGATTTAAAGAATGCTATTGAAAAGCTTTCTGGTAAAGAAATTAATGGAAGGAAAATAAAACTAATTGAAGGCAGCAAAAGGCACAGGTATGGATTTCTGGTCTCTTAAATAATGCTTAAATACCCACTAAGAAAGCTTTAAAGCCAGTGACCAGGCAACCAAACTGACCAGCCTGGTTATTGCCATGGTCCGTGACGTTTTATTGCTGACACTGCTGCTCTTTGTTTCCTCAGTAGGTCCAGAAGCAGGTCACGGTCCCGTAGCAGAAGCTCATCCAGGTCTCGTAGCCGTTCCCGTTCCCGCAGCCGCAAGTCTTACAGCAGGTCAAGGAGTAGGAGCCGTAGCAAGTCTCGATCAGTTAGTAGATCTCCAATGCCAGAGAAGAGCCAGAAACGTGGTTCTTCCAGTAGATCTAAATCCCCATCATCCGTGGATCGACAGAGGTCTAGATCGAGGTCCAGATCTGTTGACAGTGGCAACTGAACTATAAGTAACTTGCCCTGGGGGCCCTTTTTTAAACCATACTTGCTAAAACTTGTGGTAAGTATGTGACTTTCTGTGGGGAAGGGTTTGGATGGGGAGGGGGGAGGGAGGGGGAACTTTGTAGATGTGGACCATGGTGGGAAGGGTTATTGACTAATTGTATTAAATGTTTTTTGATAACCCTTTTCTTGCTCACATTTTTTTGTGAATGTCTGAAGTGTATAGTTTGTGTATATTGGCAGAGCTCTTTATAACTAAAGCAGACAACTTAAATTTTTTTGTACTCCAAAAAGTCATCTGAACACTTTAATTCCCAGTAAATGCAACTGTGAATAGCAACTCAACATTAGTTTAATATCTCAAACTAATAGCTTTAGGCATCTAAGAGCTCTACATGTGCTGTACATAAAGCTTTATTTCAGAGGGTATTTTTTTGTGCTTTTGGATCATTGTTTCACTTATAGGTCAGCAGATAAAGTGCTGGTCAGTACTGGTAATAAAATTTTATTTTAAAAGCTTTTCATTTGATATGACTTGCACTACACTTAAGAAAATGCCCATTTCACTACCCTGTGGTAATAATATTCTATAAAGCACCCTAATTCTTGATACCTAAGAGTTAAACAGCTCAAATAAAGTACAAAGAAACGTGTCTCTGCTTCTAGTGTTAATAAAGTGTGAGTGAGCCTCATGTTGGACAGTGTTAAAATGTTTCTTAAAATGTGTCTGTAACAAGGCTATGGTTGAGTGTTTCATATGTGCCATTTTAAATACATCATGCTGGGGCCTTAGATATCTTGGTGTTCTGAAAGAACCTTGGTAATAAGGAGAATCATGCTGTCATAGTTCATAGCAAAAGGTGGAATGGACAAGTTGTTCAAGTGCTAATCAGTGTTTGGCTGATAGGCATGGAATATAAAAGATGGGTGTAGTTGGCATACTTCATCAGTGTGCTTGTGCGCATGTGTGTGGAACATTGAGGTGTGGACAGAGCACTTCATAGGCACTAGTGCTGTTCTGTAGGAAGAGGAGGGATTTTTAGGTTGGTGAGTGGTCGTACTGCAGCCAGCATTTGGTGCTTGTTCCTTACAGGGGCAGCAGCCCTCTGCAATCCCTTTGTTTCTCAAGCCCTCATGCCACAAGAGAGTGCGTTAGAATTTAGTTTTAAAAATAAGATGAGTTTTCTTATACAGTGCTTTACAAAGCTACTTCAGTAATCCACGGAATCCTTTCCAAAAGATCTCGAGTTCAGGCTGGGTGTTGGATGAGGTCCTGGGAAAGGTGGGGGGGGTTGTGTCCAGAGCGAGGTGGGTCACTCGGTGTCTGCAGGCTGCACTGTTGTGCCATTCTTGGAAATGCGTCCCAAGAACATCTGTCCGTTAAGGTGGTGACCCTCACATCTCTCCTGGGAGCAGGCAGGGAGGGGTGCTCGGATTGGTATGTGGGTAACGGGGTTATTGGTAGACAGCTCTGGGGAGGGGGAGGCTCCCCTCTTGGAGGGTGGTTCAGATGCTGGATCACCTTGAGGCATGGAAGAAGAGGGCTTTAACCTCTAGGTGAAGGCAGCGCTGCTGCTCACCCTGGTGCAAGGTTAGCTGGGTTACTTCAAGTCATGATCCTTCCTGCTCGCTTGAACGATTACCGGCATCTGTGTTCAAGTGGGACTTGGCTCCAAGAGGAGCCCTGGTGGCTGGAGGCACCTGATGATTGGAAAGGGGGGTGGGACACTCTCTTCCTCCTGCTAAATAGGAAGCATTGCCTGCTCTGTAAATTCAGTTCCCAATGCTGTATCTAAACCACAGCACTTGCCTTGCAAGCAGCATGAATGAATTTCTGCATTTTAGGTGGCGAGCTGGGTGTTGGGAGGATGAATACACAGTTTAAAACAAACTCCTAGGCTTTGCACTACAGAGGGTTACAGTGACTCTGGCCAGAAATGATTCTGCATTTTTTGAAGTGTAGGTTCTTGGTATGAGCCTCTTCATTCTGAGTTAAGATCAATTACTTGAGGTTACAACATGTCCTTTGCACACTGGAGGTGTTAATGCCAATGTTCCCTTGTACTCACAAGCCAGACTGCGGCCAGAGCAGGGGGTGTGTTTAGCTCACTGACTCTGCAAAGCAGGGTGGCTCAAGGCTCATCTGTGTTGGGACGTGCAGCTTGCTGGGCCCACACTTGATGTGTTGAGGAGTTGGCGTAGCTGCAGTCAGTTTTTGTGGCCTCTGCTATGTGGAGAGCAGTGGTGTCCCATGCACGGCTTGGGTTTCGGAAAAGGGCAGTGACCATGGGCTGCTCAGCACCATGCTGGGACTCTGGCTCCTGCACTCAGAAACATTCACACCTCATTTTGAGACTGGTAGAGAAATTTCATTATTCTTCAGTGTCTTTGGGAGCTGTCGGCAGGACAACTACAGGTAAGTGATGTTTAAAAAAAGGGAACTGATGTGGGCAGTCATTTTCATATGGGCAAAACGGGACAGTCACTTGGGAGCGTAGCCCTAAGCTGTCCCAAAGGGTTGTCACTATGACTTGGAAATCGCTGGAAGTGTCCCCCGTGGGTGGGCAGGAGAGGCTTCATCCGAAGCAAGGTCTTTGGGAAATAATGGTGAGGGTGCAGATAGCTCTGTGGCCATCCCTTTCTCTGGTGTAAAATGAACATGTAGAGATAAAAAGTCTGACACAGAATTTCTGGAGACCTGTAAGCCAGCTGCAGGAGGTAGAGCTCAGAGGGGTTGCAACAATGGCTGCTGCAGTATCTGTATCATTTGCCTGGTTTCCCACAGTTTCTGCAGGATCTTGACACTGGTTTCATTTTTCAAGCACTAACTGTCCACGCCTGCATAGATAATTTTTGCTGCATCTGAAGGAAAAGGAAAATGTGAGAATAGGCAGGTCTGAGACCAGGCTGAAGGAAGATTGTGACACAGCTACAGTTGGTGTTGCTGGCTGTTGTAAAGCAAAAGGAAGGAATGTGGAAGTCCTGTCAAAATTAAGCCATTTTTGTTTCCAGTAACTTATAGATCAGCCTGAAAAGTCATCCTTTTTATAGCAGTCTTACCAAGCACCTGTATGGCTTCTCCACTATAAACTGTGCTGAAGGCACACCTGAGGGTCCAAATTGGGCATTTTTTTTCCCCCAGTAAGTCATCCTACAGCTATTGCTGTAAGATATGGTAAAGTGATCTTGTAGCAGCCCTGTGGCAGCTGTTCAGCTGCTTCTCTGTCCCAAGGAACTGGAGAAAGCAGGTCTGGAAGCATCAGCGGGATAACTGGTGCAGGATGCCATTCAGCAGTGCATTCTCCAGCCATCTTCACAGACACTCAGCTGGGCTTTGGCATTATGGACCTGTTGAAGTTGGAGATGTCTACCTTGCATCTATACCCATACTGTATATAAGTTTTAATTAAGCTTGAATCTACTTACATACCTTTCTAGCAAAAGATCTACGTTTCCTTCCTTCAGCTGCAGTACTTGACAGTTTTGTTGTTTTCCTTCTCCCCACTCCAAAAGTGACACCCTTCAGTGAATCTCAACAGTTTACAACAAAGTTGGAATTTGTTGCATTAAAGCATATCTGATGTCCTCGTGTAGTTTTAGGGGGGTGTGTGACTCTTCTGTGCATGTGCTCAGTGCCAGTCATAGCTCTGCAGGATGCCTGTCCGAGTTAAAGCATAGGACTCTGAAAAATCACTTGAGAGCTGATATTACAGATAGTATATAGCTATATGAAACATTCTGCTGATGAAAAAAGTCATCATTTCTAACGTCTTCAGTTACCTGTGGAATTTTGACTGTGATTTGTATTTAACGCATTGAATACTGTAACTGAGTTAAAGGACAACCTGATTCTGCCCTTAGAAAGCAGCAATTCATTGCTAATTACGTGTAAGCGTATGTGGTTTGGCTCGGCAAGTGTAAGAAATGCAGGAGCGAAGCTGTACTTGCCATTTGTTTCTTTATTCTGGCATGGATCCTAAAGACCAGGATCAGCAGAAGTCCCTCTCCAAGCTGGAACAGCAAGTAGAGCAGTGGGAAGAAGTGCAGGGGACTGATGATTTCTGGGGCAAAGGTGAGTTTGAGGATAGTTGAGCAAAACTGTGTGTTCTGGCAGCCCGTTTCCATGCACATTGTCTGCCTGCATCTGAAGGAGGAAAAGTTAAACAGATTGCATATTTAATCCACTTTTAAGCAATTTAAAAAAAAAGCCTGCCTACCTTACAGTTGCCTGTGCTAAAAGCTGCGTTACTGGGAGCAATACTGGCATCCCTAGGTTTTGCCTCGTGCTCCCGTTGCAGTGTGCAGACAGATCACGTGATAAATGTGGACTTCGTGCTTAAAGGTGTTTTGAGGCCTTGTGCCCCACTCTGGGTGCTGCAGCAAGCTGCAAGGAAGGAATCTGCTTCCAAGGTAAAAAGAGGAGTCCAAGGTGCAAAGGTAAAAAAATAGTGAGGAATAGTGGATGTCCTACCTGGATTAGATAGGATGAGAAAGGGAAAGAGTGGATTTTATATGCAAGGTTTCCATCTTAAATTCCTGGGGTTTCAGCTGAATGCACTGACTGGTTTGGGATAGTTATCAGCTGAGGAGCAGTTGTGTCTCTTGGGGTTTGGTCTCTGTTGGTCTTCCCTAGTTCTTTGGTGCTATTCATTCTCCCCCAACTTTGCTACTGAGAGCAGAGGTTGGTAATGTGTGTTTAGGTCACTCATGACCTCAAGGCAAACCCATCCATCTGCTTGTTCAGTGAACCTGCATAATGGACTTTCACCCCTTCTGTGGTGATCAGGCACCTGTGTCAAAAACTGCTCCAGGTGCCCCTCCCCTCTTGATTTTGCTGAGCAGAGGTTGAACTCACTTCTCTCCCAACTAGTCGTGGGAGTATTGATGTGGGATCAGCTTGCAGTGTGTCTGCTTGTACTCCTAGGGCTTGCTTTGGGAGGTGGCAATCAGTGTTTATTCTAAAAGTACATCCATGTTGAAACCCATGTTTTCACCATTGCTCCATAAACCAGAGCTGGCATACCTCTCTATTCTTCTGGTGATTGAGAGTGAGGGGATGGGGGAGTGAAGGAACATCATGGGAGTGAACATAGCCCAGCAGGCATCCAATAAAAGGCATCAAGGCAAAAGATTCTAGGAGGGATGGTGAGAAGACAACCGTGATACTACTTGCCACATAGGCCACAGACCGAATAGTTATTGCAGCAGATGACACTAGAATCACAACCATTCCTGCCTAAAATAAAAGCGGTCAAGACATGGACAAGAGAGAAATCCCCAGCAAAATTTTACTCAGCTGTTGGGAGCAGCTGTGTCCAGTTCCCTGTCCATCACATATGTAAGTATATAGTGAGGGTGCATAAGTGCCTTTTGTGGACATAAATGTTACAATTAATCAACAAGAGACCATCCTGAGCTATTACCTTGGGCCTTAAGTAGCCAAGTATCTTTCTGGTGCTTGTTCCACCAGCCACTTGTTTCTCAGCCATTGCTATGTCTCTGTCCCAGGTCCCTTTGTGGCTCTAGTCCACCCAAAGCAGGTGGGGAGGAAACCACTTTACTCACAGGTAGAGCCTGCCTACACCTACAGCAGGTGTAGGTGCTGGTGGCTGTTTCAGATCGTCTCATTGGTGTCTGGTGATTTGGCAGATGAAGGAGCTGGGGAATTTTGGGAGAAAGAATACAGCCTCCTGCCTGTCTCTCCACTTTGGAGTCAATTTGAGTGGAGTTCCCCAGATGTTTTTTAAAAGCAAGTTTCTGCCCCCTTCCTCTTTTGTAGAGAAGATAAATGGAAAGGTGGTGTTACCAGAAAGGAATATCAAGGGTCAGCTGAGCCAGTGTAGGTCATCTTATCATGCTAGGCTTTGAAAGCTTCTTTTGAAACAGTCCAGTCATCACTGCCCTGTGCTGGGTAAAGGAACCTCTGAAGAGCTCTGGTCCTCCTGCGTATGCTTTAGCATGGGTTCCCATACTTCTTAGAGGTTAGTGATTCCTATTGTCATTTTACTGGGTCTGTTACTGAGTCTTGGCACCCATTTCTTGCTGTGTTTGGTTCAGATTTCTCTGAGATGAAGCTTTAGTGAAAGAAGCTATGAAAAACAGGTTTACAGAGTTGTTAGCAGCTCTCTGGGTACTGCTAGTGGAGCTCTTGAGTTAGACAATGGTGTGTAGCTGGTTGGCTGGATTTTCCTTTTGCTCTTTAAATGCCTGATGTACAAAGGAGGCAGGGAGATGATTCCAGGCATAAGCGAGTGCTTAGTGATCTAGTGGTTTCTGCTGGATAGATCTCTCGCTGACATAAGCAGCAACTTTGTGATGTGACTTTTGCCCTGTGCTAGACCTCTGAGAGCAGTGGGGTTAGTTGTTTGGGGTTTTTTTTTAAATCTGGGGTCTGCTTTGGTTACAGCAGTAGTCAGGGCAGTGCCCTTGAGGTTCATTAGTGCTGCTTGTAGCAAAAGAAAACAAAACCAAAGACAACAAAGGAGAGCAAGGTAGGAAATTGCCTACAAAATGTTGTTTGTCTGGAGAAGGTGGAGGACTTCTCTTTGGGCAAATTTTGTAATGATTAAAGTGGATGTCTTGAGTTCTGCTCTCAACCCTTTCATTGATTTGTGGCATGCCTTAAAGAAGTTAGAATTTCTGTGCCTCTATTTTTGGATACTTGCTTGAGGCCCTTGGGCAACCAGCACAGGATACTTCTTACTTGATGATACTTGATGATAAAGCCAGTGTAATGTGGTTTCTTTTCATTCAAGATGATACTGACAACACAGGGGATTAGCATTAGTACCAGGGAGGTGACTGTTCCTTTGTAAGGTACCTTACCCTCCAAATCGCCCTCCTGTAGTTCTCCTGAGTGAAGGTACAGAAGCAGAGGCGTTAGTCCAGACTGTTGAGGATGTGGTCATTACAATGCTGAGATGAAGAAAGAAACCCTCAGTGGAAAGACACCTTTTCTTACTAACCTGGACGCATGGTTTTAATGTAAGACTTTACATCACTCTTTCGCAACCTGTCACTGACATTACCCCAACATCACTGTCAGGTTGTAGAAGGATGTGATGTGTCTAGAGAAGGGAGATGACTCAAGTTCTATATAAACTCAGAGAAAGGACCCTTGTAATGGGTACAGCTTACGTTTCAGAAATTCACAAGCCACAGACAAAGTAATACTTCATATTTTCACTCTCGATCTTGTTTAATCACTAGGGTTTGTTGGAGAGTGGTGTTCTGCTAATAGTTCAATGTTTCTCACTGATGCAGCCTCTTCAGAGCGGTATGCCATATGCTTCAGAGAAAAGTACAAACTCCCATTTTATTGTAAAACAGGGACAAATTTGCTCACTGAGCAATAAGGGTGCTTTAAAAATATTCTAGAATTAGTATTCCAGTCTCGGTCCAGCTTGTTGGGGATTGCTGATGTTTATTAAACTAGTTTCTGAACCAGTCATATGACTAGATTGGCCTGTGCAGTGAATTCAGCTTTCTTTACCTGAGGTTCATGTCCCCTCTCAGTGCCAAACTAAAGACTTTGGAGAGGTTTCCTCCTGGGCAGCAGCTGCGGGTGAGGGCGGCCAGGGATTCTGTAGCACCCAACTGGAAGAGCTTGCCCAGTATGAATGCTGTTAAGGGCATGATGCCGTACTGCGCCGTTACAGCAATTGCCGTGCCTTTGTGTTTCCTGAGGTGAGTTGTGATCTTGGCTATCTGCATTGTACACCCCAGAGATACCGTGATGAATAAGACCACAATAAGGATCACATTCAGGGCTTTGTCCATGGCCTGCTGGCTGAATGCAAATGGTGGTGCCACACAGGTCAAGGAGGTGCTCTGCATGCCACCTGGGCTCTCAAAAGCTCCCTTGATCTTGTTCACCATGCTGAAGGGTTTAGAGGCCCCTTCTTTTGTAAGTGGTTGGGAAGGGGAAGAAGAGATTGATTCAGAAGTCCAAATAACATCCAGTTAATGCAAGCAAAACATGAGCTCTCTTGCAGGCCACCACTCTTGTTCAGCAGCTGTTGAACAGAAATCTGTGTTTGGAGCAATCAGTCAGCTGTAAACCCCTCTTACTTCAGTAATACATTGTACAGTTTGTGTAGCTTCTGCTCTGGACCCCCACCTCTTCCAGCATCTGCTCTCACTGCGAGAATGGGGGCATAGCTGGTGAGAGCGAGAGGAAGACTTGTTCCAGACTGGTAAAGGCTGGCACTTCATACAAAGGAAAATGAACCAGAACTCTTCTCCAAAAGATACTGCCAAGGCCAATGCTTAAAAGCAAGATGCATCCAGGGTGCTTTATTTTTAATGAAGATTATAAAATACTTATGCTTCTAGCCATAAATCAATCTCTCAATAGGAGGGCTAGGAATAAACTTTGTCAATGGACAAGTAATTTCTCTAGTGAACTCTTAGTGGCCTTCACATCTCTTTTCCTGATGTGGTAAGTCTGATACTGTCTAGAAATATTTTGATTGCATACAAGAATGAATTCTCCAAGCCTTTCCAACATCCAAAATATTATTCCCTCCTTAGCACTGAGGGGAGGTTCTGCATGGCAGGAGCGTCAACCGGCCTCTGCGGTGCAAAGCTGTGCTTGCTGCGGCACAGCAGTGTTGCTTTCAGGACCCGAGGAGCTCTGCACCATGATCCAGCTAGGGTTGCAGGCATCGCCCAAGCTCTGCAAGCGAAACCAAATATGCAGCTTTTACCCACCCCAGACTGCTACCTGCCTTGTGCTTTCAGTACAAGGATGCACGGCACGACGTACGCTTGGTGCTCTGGTGTGCAGGGAAACAGGAGCAGGGCAGCTGGTGCTTGAGCAGGAACAGGGGCCAGAGAGGTGGCTGATGAAGATTGTTCCTCCAGCTGCTGCAGAGGTGACCTCCCTGCCCCTGGCTGTACAGGGGACATGCTTCCCAGGGTCTGCCATGCTGGGGAATAGCACATCGCCTGCCTCGTCCCCTGGTGCCACACTCCCTGGTCCCTCTGCAGGTTTTGCCTTCAATTAAAGCATTTATTGCCTTCAAGTTGACCTGAGCCAACCCCTAGGTCTGGTGTGGGTCTCTGGAAACATACAGAGCTGAACGCATTAAACTAGAGCAAAATGAATGCCATTACCTTACATGCCTGTGGATGTGGCTGTAGGAGGCTTTGGTGAGATTACCTGCTGCTCCATCCCTTCCTGATTGATAGCACTCTTCAGTCCTTCTGCTTCAAGAAAATCTTTTGCCCTTGGCAATATCTTGTCCTCTGCTTGCAGAATATAAAGCCTGAGTCTAAGAGAGCCTTGTAGATAGGGAAGCTCTTATATGATAGTTGTGTTACAGGACTGGGGAAGGGATTTTAACAGTGAGGTTTGCTGCAATATGGCTGAGCTCTAATCCCTTTGCTGAAGGGCATTACAACACTGCAGTAATGTGTCCATCACTCCTATTCATCTGGGAGCTCAGCAGGCTCAGCCTCTCCAGCTCCATTGCTCTGGAAACACTGCTGGCGCCAGGCAGGAATGTCAGAGCTGTTCTCCCTGTTCCTCCCCACTTAACTCTCGCTTTGATGAGGAACTTTGTTCTCCAAGCTGGCAGCCAGGCTGGAAAAGCACCAACAACAGCTCTGGAGCCCAGTATGGACATCCCTTATCAAGTGGGGAGGAGCGGTGCCTGTAGAACCCTGGACAGCCGTGCCAGCAGCTCCTGGTGGCTCTGCATGTCCATGTCTCTGGCTTCTCCTCCACCCTTGTGAGCACCACACCACCGTGCCTGGAGACAAGGGCCCTTCCTGTAAATCACAGATGGTGTTTTGAGGCCTCTGTGTCACTGTGGTGGCAGAGAGTACTGCCTCGCCTCATTGCTGGCTAAGCAAGTGGGAGGAGGTGGCCTGCAGTACTGCACACATTTTATTTTTCCTTGGGCATCTGCAAGATTTCCAGGCACAAGTAAGAGCTGCCCAAGTAGCACATGGGCAAGATTCATGGGAATTAGAAGAGAACGTAGGAGCAAAGCCCACAGAAATTCCTTCTTTCTATCCCTCCCTTCAGGTTTTTTTCCTGCAGATCCCCAGCCTTCCTAAAGAAATGCTTGTTTTCACTGTGTTTGCCTTCTAGCTGTATGCTGAACTTTGTCAGAAGATGTGAGAAGGGTCAAATCAAACAATTACATGGTTATAAACATCACTGCCTCAGCAGTGCCTAGACCCCACCCCAAGCTTAGTGCAGCTCAGGGTTTTAAAATGATGATGTTGTAACGCTCTTACCCTTTGTCTTTGCAGGGCTGTAGAAGAATGTTTCAACTACCCCAGTAATTAAAAAAATGCCTGCTAGTTGTTTGCTCTTCAAGCGTTCCTGCTGGTTCCCAGTAGTTCATGCAGGAAACGCCACAGGAGCCAAGGGCGAGACTAGTCGAGAGAAGCAGAATAAATTAGGATCATTATTTCGACCCTGATTCATGCTGGGACATCCAGTTGTTTTACACGGGTACTGGAGCTGGGGGCTTGCATTCAGACGTATCCAAAGAGCCGCATCGCAGCTCTAAAGCTGCTGCTCCCCGCCGTGGGACCTGGGATGTGGGACCGCCGAGGAGCATGGCCGGAGTAAGGAGCAGGCTCCCATGATGGGAGGCACTGGGGCCAAGGTGGTGCATGGGCATGCTGCTGGTAGCCCACGATGCTGACCTCATGGCTGCATCACCTACCTTGGTTCAGAGGAGGCTTTGGCCTTGACTGTCTGGCAAGAGAGCCTCTAGCTTCATCCCTAGGCAAGGTATGCCTTTTCCTTCCTTTGACCACTTCCTGGGCTCAGTTCTTAAAATTTCTAGATTTTTAGACGTTTTTTTTTTTTTTTTTTTTTTTTTTTTTTTTTTTTGTGTTGTTGTTTTTTTTTTTTTTCCCTCACAGCTCAAATATGCTCAAGCAGCTTGCTCCCTGCACAAAGGGCTTTGCCTCTGTCTGTGCCCTTGAGCTGCGTAAAACTAAGGAGCTTCGTGGAAGGTCCCACACAGCTCATGCCACTTGAGGGCAGTGGTTGCATGCCCAGAATCTTCGTTGCTTTCTGAGGATAAAAGACCTCATAAAACAACAAAGTCTCACCGTAGGTGCCATCGCTTAGATCTTTTTTATTAAGTCAGATACTCCCAAATTCAGAGATACAGTCTAATACAACAGGCATCACAGGATGCTTAACAAGCCTGAGGCGTTAAAGGAGATGTTTTTTAAAAAAAAAAAAATGTATACAAGATTGCAGACTTCCTGTTGGAGCTCAAAATGAGCTGTGTTGTAGACTTTTTTTTTTTTTTTTAAAGACACCAAAGCAGTCAGTGCTTAGTGCTTTCATAATGCATCTTCATAAATTCACCTGAGAAATATGAAATGGTTCACATGCCCCTTTCAATGGTGGGGAGCTGAGGTCCAGTTTTCTGTTTTGCAGCTGGGACTGCCATTTCTTCTGTGTTTTTACACAATTTAGCGTAACTTGAGTTTAGCCCAGTGGTTGCCCAAAGGCTGTACCTCAGCAACATGCCCGACAGGAGTGGTGGTGACTTGATTTGTGCCAGATTTCACACTGTGTTGGCCCCCAATCCAAAACATGACCTTGGCATCTGGTGTGCGTATTTTGTTCAGGTAAGGTTTTCTCACTGGCTCATAAATTTGCTAACTTCTGTGTGATTTTGAGGCAATTTGCCCACCACAGCCCTGCCCAGATGGTGGGTGCTGTGCTGGAATATCTATCAGGGGTTCGAAGAGGGAAGCCTTCTGCTGGGACAATCATGACTTGTCACAATATGTTCCAGCTGTGGCTCTCCTTGCCACAGTTTTGGTCCTATCTATGTTTTTTCACTTCTGTCATCACCAGAGGATTCAGCCCACTTAAATGGGTTGACCTCCAATTAAAATCTAGGTTTGGTCTGCCCTGTCATGAGAACAGTTGTGTGTTTGGGGTGGTGGTTAGCTCTGCTTGTGTCTGAGCCCCCTGAGACAGAGTCAGAAACGAGAACAAATTGAATGGGCTTGTCTTGAGATGCAAACCCCTCACCACCTGGTGTGGAGCAGTCTGGCACAAGCTGCCATGTCCCATTGGCCAGGGCAGCTGTAGCCTGATGCCGTGGTGATGTCCCCACTCCCCTCTTCTCACCTCCATGCTGGGTGCCATCGTGTTGCCATGCCAGCCTCATGTTGGGGATGGCTACCCAGCGTGTCACAGGGAAGGGGCACATCTAGAGTGGGACAGGGTGAGGCAGGGCTGGAGAGGCTCCCCCTGGTCTGAACAGTCCTGCTGTCTCCCTGCAGCAAGGCTGAAAGCCCTGCCATACCAGCCACATGCCCTGGAGGCCTCCTGCAGCCGCCGGGATCGGTGGTGTGATCCATGGTTCACTGTCCAGCTGTGTCTGCTGCGGCATCCCAGTGTGGATGGGGGCCCCATCCTGGCACCCCATGGCAGGGTGTCTAGGGCCATGCATCCCTGCCTTCCTGGTGGCAGTCATGCCCTGTCCCCCACCACCAGGCATTCGATGGCTCCCTGCCCCCACAGTGCTACTCTTTTAGAGGTCCTGAGCGCAGACAGGAGCCAAAGTTGTTTATATTTATTCAAATCCCATTTAGCATCCATCAGGCTTAAAAATCCCATGACTACCCTCTTATATAATTTTGTTTGATAGGAAAATAATTAATTTTGCAATTAAGCTGTGCCCGGAACAAATGATGTAAGAGTACTCCCGTATGGGCTAAATTAGTGCCTGCTGAGACACAGCGCCAGCATCTGTCTGGTTTAGTGGCACTTATTTTCAACAGCCAGAGGAGGGGATAGTGTACCCTCCTCTGACTTCACTGATGGCTTCGTCTCAGACAGAGAGGACTTGGCAGTGTCATCTGGAGCACAGTTTGGTCAGTCAGCAGTGAAAAACGAGCTTGCTCCGATGCCTCTTCTCCATGTTAGGGAGGTGGTTTTAAATTTGAGCTTGCTGGCCAGGTGA